TTGAACCTTCTTATCGTTGCGAACTTTTGTGCGCATCCACTTTGCTGATTATGTGCGTGGACATATTTTACGTCCACCTAAGCATACTCACCGCTAACAACAATCATTACAATTAAATTGGCCAATCGTTCAACAATTTCGCCCCAAAGCAGCCAACAAAACACCAAACGTACCATATGTAACAACAACAACATTAATCAACAGTAATAGTTGCATGCAGTGTTTGCAACTTTGGTTTGCCACAAATGCGCGCACCACCGAGTGTTCGAGTGTGCATGCGCTCGTTTGGCGACGACGATGCGTCATTGTGTGCCGCTTTGATAGTCGTTATAGTCAACGAAGACGAGACGAACGCCACCACCGCCTGCTGGTGGCCAAAGTCAAGGTGTAGAATATCATGCAACGTTGTCACACACCGCCGACTTGTTATATTGTTGTCTACATACATTGTTGTTGTGCCACAAACAAAAATCATATGTGCGCTGCGCGCAGGATGCATAACGGCAACAACAACGACTAAACTAGCAACAACGGGAAGAGCCATAACAATAAGCGGTGGCGCGGCGACCGTAGTGGTTGTAAGTAGCATGTGCGCGCGCGTGTGCCACAAACTAAAGGCGCGACGCGGATTTCGATAAAACTATGCAAGCCGCGAAACATAGCGACGCACAGGCAAAGAAGGGAAATAGATAAGCGCATGCGCGTACGTTGCGGTAAGCTGTTGTGGAGTCACAACAGGCAACACGAATTATAGCTTGTAAATTGCTGCTTAGTTAGCGAGAAGATGCTGAAGATGTGCGCTTGATTTCGTGCTGTTGCACAATGCCTAGGCGCAACGTGGCATGGTGGCAGCTAACGGCAGCGCGGGGCGATAAACCGCAATGCGCGCTGCCATCGATTGTTTGCCGTCGTCGTCTTCGTCGTCGTCATCTACGCTATTGCTACAATGTTGCTAGGCGTTTATGGAAGGTTGCTGTTGTTGTTGCTGTTGTTGTAATTGCCGTAACAGCATTGTAAACACCATTCCGATGCGTAACAATTTCCAGCATTTTACTTTGCTTTTGTTACCGCGCAAGCACAGCCAGCCAGTAGTAGTGTGCGCCGTTGTCTACGCGCGCGTGTGTGTGATTGCGCGCGCCCGTTTTTTTTTTACAAGCATTCAGCGTCTAACAAGCTTTTTATTTGTCCTGCTGCATAAAAAGAAATTCGAACGAGATTTATCACACATGCCAGCCACTCAGCCACTCAACGGGCGCAGGCACTCAGGCATCTGGGCTTTCAAGCATTCAAGCGCGCGCGACGCTTTCATTGTCGCAACTTTTTTTTCAGCGGCAAAGCAAGGCGCGCTGCAGCCCACCTCACAGTCACCAAACCAGCAACCATTCAGCATTCGCACGACACCTCAGCAACTATTTGTCTTTTTTTTATTTTGCTGTTATTGCTTTTGCTTGCTTTCGTTTGCACGAAACGCTCAAATACCAGCGCCGCTTCTCTCCAACACACCACCGTAGCTCCAGCAATTGTCCTCTAACTCTGCTTAGTTTGTTCAGTTGTCGACACATCGCTTCCCAGCGCATTTTTGTTTGGGTTGCTTGCAACATTTGTGGAGCGCCTAACAAGCGTTTTTCCCGACACTCAGTCGTTGCTCGATTAGTTGCGCCTTCTGCGCTGATCGCGCATCTCAACGAACGCGAACGCAAACGCACCAGGCATGCAACTACCAGTGGACCGCGTCTGCACCAGCACCTGCAGTGGTTTGTGGGCAGCAGCAGCAGCTACAGTTGTGCGTGTTGAGCACGCATGCGTGGTGCCTTGGTGTATGTGAAAAACTGCGACTCGCGCCCTTGGATAAATCTGATCTCAACCCACCCGTCCAAGCTTACGCCGTGAATTTAGCTAAATTGTGTTTAGAAAAACTGAACCTTCGTAGTTATTCGCCTCTATTTTCCCTACTCGTCGCAAAGCATTCGCGGTGATCGTGCGTGATCAACTATCAGTGCTGAGTTCTCGCCAGTTGCTTAGTGACCATAAGCGCTCACTGCGAAGTTTATATATATGTACATGCATTGCTGCATATATTTACTCCCTAAAATATTGTTATTTATATAAATTTCGTTATTGTCTCTTTTTAAAATATTTATGAGTTTATTAAATATTTATGCATTACTTCAACTCCGTTTTCAATTTTTAAATACACCCTGTAGATTAATCTGCTTTCTTTAGTACTAATCCATCTTTCTTCTTCTTTACTTTCGTGAAAACAGCTTAGGCGATTATAGCCGAGTTTACAACAACGCCTCAGTCGGTTCTTTTCCTCGCTATTTGACGCCAGTTGGAGATATCTAATGCAGGCAGATTCTTCTTCAGCAGAGTTAAGGCCGTTGTGTTCCTCTGCTTCCAACAGTTTCAATGCTGAAGTATTCTCGTCCATCTTGTCAACATGACCCACCCAGCGTAGCGGCGGTCTCTTGATTCGCTGAACAATATCTTTGTCGCCGTATGTCTTGTACAGCTCATCGTTCCATCGACTGTGGTATTCGCTGTTGCAAAGGCGCAAGGGACCATAAATCTTCCGCAAAAACTTTCTCTCGAACACTTCCAAAGCCGGCTCATCAGATCTCGTCAATGTCCATCCTTCTGCATCACTTAGTACGATAGGTAGGATGAGAGACTTGTAGAGTTTGGTTATTCGAGGATATTGTTTTTTTGTCTTATTGTTGGGAAAGTCTCGCTACGCAAGTAAGGCTATCATACCAGAGGACGCCCGGCATCCATGAGCTCTTTTCGTGACTGAGCTATTTGAAGGTCCGCAGTCAGGTTGAATCTCGGCATGAGTCGCATGACATCTCTATCCGCTTTTCTGTATCCACAACTATAGTAAGATCTCTTCTTTGAATGCTGTGATATTCAGAAGGAACAAACACTTAACTAAAAAGTCAGACCTTAGCAGATGCCTTCCAATTACAGCAAATATGAAATGTAACCAGTCCGATCTTGTTATCGTCGTGATACTGTGGTTTCTTCTAAAGCCGACCCATCAGATCTCGTCAATGTCCATGCCTTTGCAGCTTATACCAGGGCGGGAAGGATGAGAGTTGTAAGGTTTGGTTATTCGAAGCAGTTGTCTCTTTTGCATTGGGTGTTGTTTCTATATGGCGGGTCCCAAACATAACCTCATTAGGCGAGTAGTGTGAAATTTTGTACACATTTCTATATGTAGGCGCTTGTTTTATAACCGACGGGCGCAGCGGCATCTCAGGTGAATATACGCTGCAATTCGAGTTCAGAAGTTTCCTTAAACCGAATACGTCGGGGAGGCTCCGCTCAAGTTTCCTTTCTTTTATCCGTGACCGCAGATCACTGAGTATTGTCCTGCGACTGTAACTGTATACCCAGAAGCATAACTACATCGCATTACACTTATCCTAAAATAATAAAATGCATCTAAATGTAAAAACTCAAACTATATCTGATATCTGAGCTGCAGCGAGAGATTTGTGGTTGGGGAGGAGTCGCTGATATGTCGAAGCTAGAAGGGAGGATTGAAGGAATTTCGTGTAAGGAGCTCTCCATCGATCTTATCTTTAGGCGCCTAAACCACTATAGACTCTGTCAGGGCGACGAGCATTCACTACGACAGTTGAGTGGCAAAACTGTACTACTTGCTCTTAGCAAAGTTCATCCTACCTCAATCTTAAGCATGCTTACTGAGCGCTGTAGAATAGGTATTCTTAGAGTAAGGCTAAAAATCTTGTCGAATGCTCGTTGCCAAAGTTGTAAAGAGAAAGGTAACGTGGAAACAGCCAAACACTTCCTCATCTATTATCCAGCCTTTGCAAGGAGACAAGAAGACTCGGTGCTATCATACAGAAGTTTTAGCTACTACAACGGTCTGGCGTTCTAAGCTGTCTAAGTGAGATCTCTATTAGATTCGATTTCTTAACGTAACTATACTAAAATATAAGATCTTGATATATAATGGAATAATAGAAAAAAAATTGCAATGAACTATATTTTACTTCTGTACCTCCACTCCATATTACAGAGTTGCTTCTGCAACAAATTTCTATTACAAAGCGCATTCGCTTGTTAGCCATAAAAAATATTGCTATAACAGAAAAAATATGCATAATTGTCATGACCGTTATGTGCGCTGAGAGCTAGCAATTGGGATTTACCGTTTCATTGTCGGCCAATAGCAAATTGCATGTACAACACGGCAACCCTTTTTTGGCACCACCGTGCTACCGGTAACATGGATGGTTTAATTAGAGCTCAACGCGATTTCTACGTCAGCGTTAAAAACACCCGCGCCAATGTGCTGCAAATCACATCAGCATCTAACAAAAGGGACCACCATCCACTGCAGGCATGTAACAACAACTACAAAGCTATAAAAGCTGATTACTGGCTTACAAGAATTTGAATGTTTTACATATACTGAGAGTGAGTGAGTCGGTGGATGTATGCGTGAGTGTGTGTTTTTCGTGTGCGCATGTGTTTGGTTTTGCGTGTGTGTATTTGTGCACCGCTTATTTTGCATATTGTCCAATCGTTGCGGTTGGTAGCTCATCCTTTTATGGCAATATTTCAATTTGCTCGTTAAATTAGAACGCGTAAAATGTATTGTTTCGCCGGCCGCAAGGCAAGCGCGCGGTTGCGGCCCAGTTTTTATCTTGATATCGCAACTGTCTCCAATGAGCATCTCGTTGCAGCCATGATACTTTCGTTAGCAGTTACATGTGCTACAAGCTGCCTTGCGCGTATCCGCTTGGTCTATTTAAATTCGCATTTCTTCACTTAAGACTCGAACAGTGCGTTGCTACAAGAAACCACACAATTTTGTTGTAATTCCAGCAGCAATAAGTCATGCAAATCATATCCGTCGCATTGGCTCCTAAGCTATCTAAGATTTGCCCAAAAAATATTATTTTTTTATGCATTGCTGCCACACGCAATTGCTAACAATACTGATTATTTGTTTGCTTGCTACTTTACAGGTTCGCCACCGCTAACCGGCACCGGCATAGTGCGCGTCATTGTGCAAGACATGAATGATCACAGTCCGGAGTTTGCGCGTCCCTACTATTTGGCCAGCGTGCGGGAGAACTTGCCCGCCGGCACGAAGGTATTGCAACCCGTGGCTACGGATAAAGATAGCGGCGCTAATGCGAAACTGCGCTTCACGCTGCTGGGCGAGCACATCGACAGATTCCAAATCAATTCGGAAACGGGCGAGATCACAACGGCCACCATGCTGGATCGCGAGGAGACTGCTGTCTATTATCTGACGCTGATGGCGCAAGACAGTTCGGCCACAGAGCCACGTGCCAGCGCAGTCAATCTGACCATCACGGTGCTAGATGTCAACGACAATACGCCCAACTTTAATGCGGCCAGTTTCAATGTGAATGTACCGGATCGCATAAAGGCTGGCGAGTTTGTGTTTGGCGCAAGAGCCACAGATTTGGATGATGGCGTCAATGCGCTTATAACCTACAATATAAGTGGCAAGGATATCGATAAGTTCAGCATTGATACGCAGAGTGGCGTGATTAAGGCGAAGATGCCGTTGGGTGCGCGTGAAAATACGAGCTTCGACACGATCTACAGCATAGTTTTGCATGCCATGGATCAGGGTACTGAGTCGAGATCATCCAGTGCGGATCTCACTGTATTGATACGGCCGGGCATGCTCTTTCCCGTATTCGCAACCATCTCCACGAAACAATTCATGTTGTCGGAGGATGTGCGTGAAGGCAAGGTTATTACCACTATCAACGCCGAGTCGCCGAAGAAGACTGCTGCGGGTAATATTAAGTATGCCATTGCTGGTGGTAATATTGGTAAAGCGGTACATGTTGATGCGAATACGGGCGTCGTGACAATCGGTAAAGACGGCTTGGATTATGAAATTGCGCATACTTATGAGATATGGGTGGAAGCCTCGGACTCGGATCAACCGCGATTGCGCAGCGTTATGTTGTTGACCATCAATGTCACCGATGCCAATGATAATGCGCCTGTTATGGATAAGATGACCTATTACGCGGAGATACTAGAAGAAGAACCGCCGCCACAATTTATTGTCAAAGTACACGGCACCGACCGCGATTCGGGTGATAATGGTGAACTGTCCTATCGGCTTGCTGACGACTTTGAGGGCACATTCGAGATTGACTCCGATTCGGGTGAAATTTATACCACAATGCGCTTAGATCGCGAAGAGATTAGCGCGTATGAGCTATTGGTGGAAGCAGTGGATCAAGGTATGCCACAACTTACCGGCACGGCGACAGTACAAATTACGCTCTTGGATAAAAATGATAATCCACCAAAGTTTACACGTCTCTTTTCCGTTAATGTAACGGAGAATGCAAATATTGGCAGCTTCGTAATACAAGTGACCTCATCGGACTTGGATATTGGCGTAAATGCAAATGCTACTTACAGCTTTACTGAGAACCCGGGTGAGAAATTTAAGATCGACGCCATCAGTGGTAATGTTACGGTCGCCGGCTATTTGGATCGTGAACAGCAAGACGAGTATCTGCTGAAAATCGTCGCCTCTGATGGTGCTTGGCGCTCAGAAACTCCCATCACTATCACGGTACAGGATCAAAATGATAATGCACCGGAGTTCGAGCATAGCTATTACAGTTTCAACTTCCCCGAACTACAACGCGCTGTTACGTTTGTTGGACAAGTAATTGCCACGGATCGTGATAAGCAAGGACCGAATTCACTCATCTCATATTCACTGCAACAGCCATCCGACTTATTCACCATCGATCCGGCCACAGGTGAGATCTTAAGTAAACGTAGCATGAAGTACAAGCATTCGCAACTTGAAACCTCACCGGAAAATATGTACACGATGATCGTGTTGGCCACAGACAATGGCAAGCCACCGCTAAACTCGGAATGTTTAGTTAACATAAATATCGTTGACGCCAATAATAATCCACCAAAGTTTGAAAAGGCTACTTACCTAGCACCCGTGCCCGAGCAAGCAATGAGTGGTCTGCGTCTAATCAAGGTACATGCAGTGGATGCGCTCGACTACGGCGTAAATGCCGAAATCGATTACACACTGGTGAAGAGTAATGCCTCCGATTATTTCGCGGTTAGCAAGCACGACGGTTGGATTTCTGTAACGAAGCCACTTAATGTTAAGGCGAATACTGTGTTCTTGATCACAGTACGCGCCACTGATCGTGGCGTGCCACCGTTAGCGGACGAAACGCGTGTCACAATAATTATGACTGGTGAAAACAAACATGCACCGAAGATCAACGCGCTGAGTCATCAAGTTATAGTGCCCGAAAATGAACCAATTGGCTCCACCATACTAACTGTTACTGCCTCCGATAAGGACGACGGACCTAATGGCATGTTGACATATTACTTTTCAGGCGGCAATGAACGCCAAGAGTTTAATATGAACAAGGACACCGGCGCTGTGACCATACTAAAACCATTAGATTACGATTTCATACAAGAGTATTATTTGAATATTACAGTGGAGGACTTGGGTTTCAAGCCCAAGAGGGCGGTTGCTATGCTAACAGTTATAGTAACGGATATCAATGACAATCCACCATTGTTTAATCAGTCGGAATATCACGCTTTCATACCGGAAAATCGCGCACCAAATACATTCGTGTTCAAGGCACACGCCACCGATAAGGACTCACCCAAGAATGCCATCATACGTTACACGATCACCAGCGGTACGGGTAAAAACCTATTCAAGATTAATTCGAGCACTGGCGAGATAGTCTCCACGGTATCATTTGATTATGAGGAGCGACGCGATTACAATCTGCAGATAATGGCTGCTAATCCCGATTCGCCGATGCACAGCACCGCTATGGTGATCGTGCATATTACGGGCATTAACGAGTATTACCCACAGTTTGTGCAACCAGTCTTCCACTTCGATGTATCCGAGTCGGCCGAGGTCGGTACCTCCGTTGGCTCCATACAGGCGACAGACAAAGATGCTGGCGAAGATGGTAAAATCTATTACCTTTTGGTTGGTTCAAGCAATGATAAAGGCTTCTCTATCAATGCCATGACCGGCATTATGTATGTATCACGTCATCTAGATCGCGAGACTCAAAATCGTGTTGTACTTACCGTTATGGCAAAGAATTACGGTGGTATACGTGGTAATGACACTGACGAGGCGCAAGTCATCATATCAATACAGGATGGCAATGATCCACCGGAGTTCTTGAAATCACTATACACAACACGTATATCGGAGGCTGCACCTGTGGGCACCAAGGTCACCAGCGTCAAAGCCGTCGACAAAGATGTACGCCTACAAAATAATCAATTCAGCTACTCCATAATCAATGGAAATTTAAACCAAACATTCAAGGTTGATCCACAAAGTGGTGATATTGAGACGGCGCGTGTTTTAGATCGTGAAACTGTGCCGATCTTCAATTTGGTTGTGGGCGCAATCGATACCGGTGTGCCACCACAAACTGGCACAACAACAGTTAAAATCGAACTAGAGGATATAAACGATAACGGTCCAACCTTTGCAACCAATGGTCTAATTGGTTACATATCGGAAAATGAGCCAGCCGGCACCTCAATTATGACATTATCCGCAAGTGATCCGGATCTGCCACCGAACGGTGGACCCTTCACTTACTATCTCGTCGGTGGTAAGCATAAATCATTCCTGGCCATCGACAAACACTCGGGTCTGGTAAGGTCCACAAAGAGTTATGACCGCGAAGTTACACCAACGCTAGAAGCTGCGATAGAGGTTGAAGATAATGGTGAACCAAAGCAGCGCGCACAACACGTGCTTACAGTTAAAGTACTCGACCAGAATGACAGTCCGTCCACGCCACGTATGGTACACGTGCTGCTCAACACATACAACAATGCAATTGCCATCGGTAAAATAGCGGATGTGCATCCTAATGATCCAGATGTAACTGGCGATTACAGATGCAAGATTTTGGCGAATGCACAATCGAGTCCATTAGGCATACTTACCATACCAAGTGCTTGTGACTTGTACACCACACAGAAGACCGCCGTCAACGGTTATTCATACACCATATCCGGTAATGATGGTAAACATAACGACGTAGTGTCGACGGTCACTGTAGGCTTCCAAAACTTTGACAGTGCTGCCGTAGCGCAATCCGTTACTATATTGGTCCGTGAAATGATGGCTGAATTCTTCCTAGCCACACACTATCGCAATTTTGTGGAACTAATCAAATCAGCTTTGGACACTGGTGATGAGCTCATATTGTATAGCATGCGCAATACAGGCGATGAAGACGGCGACTTGGAGCTCATACTAGCAGTACGTAGCTCGAACCTAGCTTATCGTACACCGCGCTATATACTGGAACGTGTGAGTAAGAAACGTGATTCGATTGAACGTTTGTTGCAAGCAAACGGTGGCGTAATTATCGGCTACAGTCCATGCACTTCGGCTGCCAGCAATGCTTGTGAAAATGGTGGCATGTGCTCGGCAGAGATTCAAGTGCACGACACGCACTCATTGAACATAATAGATAGTCCGTCGTTGATTTTCAGTGGCCCACGCGTTTCGCACGATTACAGCTGCAAATGTCCCGACGGCTACACCGGACAGCAGTGCGACAAGCAACAGGATCCATGCTCGCCTAATCCCTGCGAAGCGAATGCGCAATGTCGTCGCATTGCCTATGACTTTCAGTGTATTTGTCCGCCAAACCGTGACGGTAAAAACTGCCAACTACACCGTGGTGACGTATGTACGAGCAATCCGTGCCGTAACGGCGGTTCCTGCATGCACAGTCCAGACGGCGCATCCTTCTTTTGCCTCTGTCGGCCGGGTTATCGCGGAAATCAATGCGAACATGTGTCCGACTCGTGCCGCCCAAATCCCTGCTTGCATGGCGGACAATGCGTCAGCTTAAAACCGGGTTACAAGTGCAGTTGCGTTGATGGTCGTTATGGACGGCATTGTGAGCGCGCAACCTTCGGTTTTCAGGAACTCTCTTACATGTCGTTTCCAGCTTTGGATGCCGCTACTAATGACATTTCAATCATATTCGCTACAACGAAACCGGACGGTTTATTGCTCTATAATTACGGCATGCAAACGGGTGGACGTTCCGACTTCGTGGCGATAGAGATTGTGAAAGGAAAGGCTTTCTTTTCGTTTGGTGGCACGCGTACTGCAATAACAACGGTGGTTGTGGGTGTCAATAGCATGGAAAGTTTGGCTGATGGCAAGTGGCATAAGGTCACAGCTACACGCAATGGACGTGTCATGTCATTAAGTGTGGCTAAGTGCTCGGAAAATGGTGATGCATGCGAGGAATGCCGACCTGGCGATGCCAGCTGCTATGCTCAGGATGTAGGACCTATTGGGTAAATTTATTTACATTTTTCAAATTATTAAATAACTTTATTAATTATATTTTATAACTCTTTTGCAGTACCTTGAACTTCAACAAGCAACCCCTACTTATTGGTGGTCTTGCAACGGCGGACCCAGTTCTAGATCGTCCGGGTCAGATACATTCAGATGATCTGGTTGGGTGCGTGCACAGCGTATCCGTGAACGGGCGACCATTGAACATGAGTAATCCGCTAAAACAGCGTGACGTGCTGCCCACCTGCAATCGCAACACCAATGGCGGTCCATGTCAGCAAAGTGCGCCTAACGATCCGGCGTTATCGCTCTGTGGAGATTTTGGTACCTGCATGGACCGCTGGCATACAGCGATGTGCCAATGTGGCGCCAGTTTGCTTTCACCCGATTGCTTCAGCTCCTTGGAACCGATTACGGTTACGAATGGCGCCTTCGTGGAATTCAAAATATCGGAAAAGCACCGACGCATGCAGCTGTTGGACAATTTGTATGCCGCCAGTAATATATGGTCATATGATGTCGCACGTCGCAGAAGATTTACCGTAAATAGTGACAATATCACTGCATTGGCGCAAGTTATGGATTTACCAAAAACCGTTAGCATTATCTTTCGCACCTACAAAGAAGACGGTTTGCTGCTCTTTGCCGCAACCAACAAACAGTACACCGCAGTTGAGCTGAAAGCCGGCAAGTTAGTCTACTATTCCAAGCAGAACAGCGTCGTGAATATGACCATACAGAAGCCGGACAAACTGAATGACGGCAAATGGCATAATCTTACCTTGTACACATCGAACCGTGTGCTACGTTTGCTTATTGATGGTAATAAAGTTGGTGACGAACTCGATTCGGCTGGCGTGCACGACTTTCTCGATCCATATTTAACGGTGCTATCTATAGCTGGCGTGCGACGCGAACATTATCCACAGGATAACGCACCGAACAGCTACGAGGGTTGCATTGCCAACTTTACCATCAATAATGAAGTCCAACCGTTTAACGGCTCGGGAAGCGTTTTCAGCGATGTACTGATACGCGGCAAAGTTGCGCTCGGCTGTAGCGGTGATTTGGGCATTGGTGCGGCGCAAGCCTCCGATCCCGTCAGCATAGGCATCACACTGGTCATTGTCTTCTTTGTGATACTCGTTGTAGCCATTTTGGGTTCCTATGTAATTTACCGTTTCCGTGGCAAGCAGGAGAAGATCGGCAGTCTAAGTTGTGGCGTGCCCGGTTTTAAATTGAAACATAGCGGTGGAGCTGCAGCATCCCAGAATCAAGCAGACCATGTTTTGTCCCGCGGCAGGGGTGTGCATGCCGGCGATGGTCCAGTCAGCTATCATGTAGACAGTGGTGACTTGATACGCGGTGTCGGCGGCCATCATATGGTCGGACCCGAATTGATTTCGAAGAAGTTTAAGGAACGTGAAATCAACTCTAATGAACATCAACAACAGCGACCACAACGCCCGGATATAATCGAAAGAGAGGTGGTTAGCAAGAGTCCGCCATTACGAGATGAACATCACCCACCGATACCGCCGCCCAGTCAAGCGCATCATCCCCACGATCATACCAGTTCGGTTGATCTGGGTTCAGAGTATCCAGAACATTATGACTTGGAGAACGCCAGTTCAATAGCGCCATCTGACATTGACATCGTCTATCATTATAAGGGTTATCGTGAGGCTGGTGGCGTACGCAAATACAAAGCTACACCGGCGCCAGTCGCATCCTACACACATCACAAACACCAAGCCACGGCCGCTCAACAACAGCACCGGCACTCACCACGTCACGGCATCGGTGTTGGTGGACCATTCGTACCACGTGTGCCGCCACAAACTAGTCAACCACCACCACCCTCAAGTACACCACGTCCACATCAAAGTACGCCATTGGCGCGACTCTCACCCAGCTCCGAATTGAGTTCACAGCAGCCGCGCATATTAACACTGCATGACATCTCCGGTAAACCGTTGCAAAGCGCACTGCTCGCAACCACCTCCAGTTCGGGCGGTGTCGGCAAGGATGCGCTACACAGCAATAGCGAACGTAGTCTAAATAGTCCAGTTATGTCACAACTATCCGGGCAGAGTTCCAGCGCAAGTCGACAAAAGCCCGGAGTTTCAACGCAGTCACCAGCACAGGCGCCCATCGGCCTCACCGCCGAAGAGATCGAACGTTTAAATGTCAGACCGCGCACATCGAGTTTAGTTTCAACACTGGACGCTGTCTCATCCAGTAGCGAAGCACCACGTGTGCCAGGCGGTGCTCATCATATAGCGCTCGGCGGTGGTCTACACAATGCCGATGTTGATGCGCATAGCTCTTCATCAACGGATGAGAGTGGCAACGATAGTTTCACATGTTCGGAAATCGAATATGACAACAACAGTCTGAATGGGGATGCAAAATATCCAACAAACAAAACAGTGCCCGACGATCGTCCCGATCGCAGCGCTGGCGGTCGTGCAATGAGCGGTGATGGCGTAGGTCCGAGCATGGGTAAAGTACCGCCGATGCCGCCACATTCATACGACGGCTTCGATTCGTCCTTTCGTGGCTCACTCAGCACTCTAGTCGCCAGCGATGATGACATCTCAACACGCATGGGCGGTATTTATCGACAACTCAATGGACCGGGCTCACCATCGCAACCGAGTCTGGGCTGGAACTATCTGCTCAACTGGGGACCGAATTTCGAAAGTTTAATGGGTGTTATTAAAGACATTACAGAGCTGCCGGATGCGGTGGGCGAGCAACAACAGTTACAGTCGACACTATGCATGCCGGGTAATACGCAAAAGAACTCCGAAGAATATGTATAGGGAGCCTAGCATAGTTTAAGGATATAAAGTTTCCTGTCAGCACAAAGCGTAGTGAGGGAAAAGCTAAATACGTGATTTAGTGTATTTATGTAGTTTTAACCGTTTTAGCCTTTTATTTGTTTAGTTTACTTTTAGTACTTCTGCCAGCTGCCATTCACTAGCATTTTCAGAAGAACGCTGACACTTATATTTAGGTCTGACTGCTGTATGCCATGTCTGTATAAGCGAAACTTATAAATATTAAGATTTGCAACGAACACTAAAATTAAATTAAAATTATTTAAACAAGTTTAGCGTCTTCCAATAGATCCATAGCACATATTATAACAAGTGGAGTCTCTACTTGGCATTAATCTGAGTCTTTAATCAAGCTTAATGTACAGCAATTATTTATAAATTATTTTTTAAATATTCATTCTTTACTCCTACTGCCAAATATTCGTGCGAATCATCATCTGTACACATCACATTTATTGCCTCAGTTAGTTAGCAGTTAGTTTAAGCAATTCATTCGAACCACACACACACATACACACACAGTGCTAGTTTGTACGTAATTTCCTTAGCATTATTTATTTGAGCGCATATATGTAATTAAACGTTGCACTAAGACCAATTGTGTTTATCGCCTTGTATCAAGGCTTGTATCCTAACCTATTAGCTAGCATATACAGGTAGTTTATCGGTTAGTTTATTGGTTAGTCTCGAAGGCTTATGAGCAATTAAGCAATAATTTAATTAATTTAGACTTAGTAACCAATTAACAGTAGCTTTTAACTTTAAAAAATAATTATTTTACTACGCGGCATAAATGTAAAGTGTTTTGTGTGCTATATTAAAAGTAATTACAAGGCTCATATGTATTATATGCATTTATTAATAGTTTTTTTTGTAATGTATTTAAAAAAAAATAGAAATTTTATACAAATGAAATCTTGCCATAAGATTTGCTTGCGTACTTATGAGTTATAGAAATAAAAATTATAAATTATAAAAATA